ATAATTAAGTTAGCTAATAATAGTTACTATTATTACTACCTTTGTTATATTTTGTTCATCTACTATGTTCTTTTTCTTACTTTAGTTAGTCTTTTAATAGTAAAAAAAAGTCTTTATTTTTAAGCTACTTAGCTTTTACTTTAAGCTAAAAATTTCTACTTGTACACTTATTATATTTTTACTAGAGGAAAGTAGAGATCTAGAATGTTTTAAGTTTTAGTTAAAAATTATTAATTTTATAGTTTTTAGATTTATAGTAACTTTTATAAAAGTTATGTCGCAACCGCTGATCAGGGAGCAATGAGGAGCAAGTCTATTGACTATGAGAGGCTCATAGGGAGCCTGCCTATGTAGTGGGAGCTCCGGCGCCAAGTGTCTCAGGCTGCTCGTCCGAAACACAGGCGCGACACTAGGACCATGTGCTCTCTTACGCGACAAGTTATATATAAATTACAGTTGCTGCTGTTCTAGCGTAGATAAGTGTTGTTAGTATATAGTAAAACTACTATAGATAATGCTAGGTTGCTAAGTTAGCTATAATTAATACTAATTTTTAAAAAACTTTAAATAGCTAGTAAAAAAATCAAGTAGATTTTTATTAGTCTATTTATACTAGACTAGAATTAATTAGATAGCTGCTATGCATTTAGAGTTTATATCTAAAATTAGTAATATAAAGTTATAATGTAGTTAATCTTCTACTATATTTAGTAGGTAGACTAATTTAGCATTAATATCTATCTTTTTATACGCTATAATTTATTAGTTTTATATTATTTTTTAAAACTACTTTTTTACATAGTTATATACAGTTTGTGCGCTTTATTTAAGCTAATTATTAATAGGCTTTAGAATTACTTTTAAACCTTTTAGCTTTTTATAAATAGTTTTTTCATCTTTAATAAACATATAAAAGTTTAAGAAAGCTTTATATTAAGTTTTAAATAACTTTAAATTATTATAGTAGTTTTTATAACCTATTATATAGTATTACTAATTATTAAAGTTCAAGTTAGAGACTATTGTGTTAGAAGTAACCTAAGTGCTGCCTATATAAAACTTTATAACCTTAGGTCTTTATAGCATAGTGTTAACTAGGAGATTTTCTAGTAAGAAATCTAGATTAATATACTCTTTGTCCGTACGCAGCAGCAGCGTCGCGGCCTGGATACAAGCGATCGCACACGAGCAGGATCACGTATCTATGTCACATGATGCTTGTGCGCGAACCTCTGTGCGCGAACATCTAGATATCCCCCTTTTCCTCTATACAGAGAAAAGACAAGAGTAATAAAACTAGAAACATGTTACTCTTACTTTACCTACTTTATATGCTGTGCACACTATACACTACTCTTACTTTTGCTACTTAAGTGCTTATACTATAAGCAGCTAGCTATTAGAGCCTATTTAACACTAATTAGTAGTTAATTTAATTAACTATAAATTAGTAAAAGTAATAATAAAGTACTTACACTTTATAAAGTACTTTATTTTATTACTTATTCTTTAAAAAGAGTAATAATAAAGCACTTACACTTTATAAGATACTTTATTTAGTTACTTATTTTTTAGAATAGCAGATTAATTCTTTACATTATATAGTAAGCCCTACTACTGTACAAAGTAAAGAGAAGATAGTGTAAAACGCACACTAAAACTATTAAAGCTGTATAACCTAGCAGCTAGATAATAACAGCAGTACCTGCGTAATTTACTGCACAAGTAATTAACATTACACTTTATAAGGCACTTTGTTTTATTACTTATCTTTTAGAAAAAGTAATAATAAAGTACTTATACTTTATAAAGTACTTTATTTAGTTACTTATTTTTTAGAATAGTAGATTAATCCTTTACATTATACAGCAAGCTCTGCTACTATATAAAGTAAGAAGAAGATAGTGTAAGGCGCACACTAAAGCTATTAAAGCTGTATAACCTAGCAGCTAGATAACAGCAGTACCTGTGTAATTTACTAGAAAAGTAATTAACTATACTATTATAATAAAATCTTACTAGCAACTAATAACTTTATGTAATAATAAAAAGAATAAGAAATAATTCTTATTATATAAATAACTAATAAGGACATAGAGATATTAGACGTAACACTATAAAATAAGACTAGCCTAGAGTACTAAAATAATAAGATTAACATGTTAAAAGCTTTAATAAGCTTATAGACTTAATTATATATAAGTTATATAATTACTAATTTACATATAATAACTTAAAAAGGCGCTACTTTTTTAAGTTTATATATAAAAAATTTTAAAGAATAAATACTATAAAACTTTTTAGCACTTAGCTATATGTTTAAAAGAGAGCTTATATAAGTGCTAAAAAATAAAAATAATACACTATAGCTAGGCACTAAAGGTACCTAAGCCTAGAAGCTGTATTATATAGCATAAAAGAAAGTAATTACACTAAAAAGACTTTATACATAACCTTTATTACTATATAAGGCTTTACACAGAAGCAGACTAAACATAATGCTACTAATAATACTAAATATACTAGTATTATCTACTCTTACACCTTAGCTAGCACTACACTAATTACTATACAAATAATACATGCTACTCTACCTAACGCCTGCTCCACACCCTTAATTGTACACACTACCGCCTGCAGTAGTGTATGCACTACTAATACCACCTGCACAATCTATACTACATTACAACCTGTACAAACTTCTACTCTAAAGGGAAACTGCTAAAGAAAAACTTCTAGTAAATAAAATTATATAATTTTAAAAAGCATAAAAAAATAATAACTATATAAGTTAACTATATAACATTTTTATAAATAAAATAAAAATTTTGATAAATTTATATTAATAGCTAGATATTTAAAAAACTTAGTATATAGACATCTTTCTAGATATTCTAAAAGGTTAAGTAAATATATACTATATGCATAACATAGGCTCTAGACATAACTAGAAGCATTTATATAACACCTTAAGTAGTTACTTTAACACTAATGTAAACTATAGCTAGTACTAGACAGACTAGATAATAATAACTTTTACATAATGCTAATAAAAAAACTTTAATAAAAGTTTATATAAAGTCTTTAAAATAATAATTAATAAGCTTATGCTTATATAAAAGGCACTAAAAATAAAATTTTAAAAAGATGTTTTACTATACACTGCTATTATATAAGCTTATTAAAAATAACTAAAACTAGAACATACTATGTTTACTATTAAGCCTTTATGTAAAGCTTTATTTAGTAACCTATAAGTATTACTTTAAGTTACTATAGACTAAAGAGTAAACTAATACTTCTAGAAACTGCCTAATGTATACTACATAGACTACTAATATAACTCTGCATAATAAAAGTCTACATAATAAGAAGAAAGCTTCTCTTTATGTAGAAAAAAATAATATAAAAGATCTTTATTTAAGTTTAGGCCACAATCTAAAGATAACTATATATAAATAAAGAAGTGCTTTGTCTACTATAAAAAAAGATGTTAGTTATTAAACTACTTTTATAATAACTATATATAAGTAAAAAAACTAGTATGTTACTTTATATAAAAATTTTTATAATAAAACCTTATTATATAAAGCTATTACTTTATATATCTAAAACTTTAAAAGTTACTCTAAAAAAAAGAATAATTTATATAATATAAAAAAAATAAAATAAAAAAGTAAAGATGCTAAAAAAGCTATTAACTACTTTACCTTTACTACTTATCTATACTGTGCAATAGAAGAGGACATCTACAGCATTAAACCTAAGAAGTATGCTAAGCAGTTTATTCTTAATAACTAATACTATATAGTATACTAAGGCAAATTATAAAATATAAGTGTAGTAAAAATCTCTACTATTAGCAAGTTTTAACTTAAGGCGTATATATAAAAAAACTTATATATAAAAATTAATTAGATACTTAGCTAAATAAATATTAGCTTTAAAGGCTAAACACTAAAAAAATTAATTAGTACTATATAAATCTAAAACTTAATTAGTCTAGTTACATACTACATTTTAAAGACTTTAACACTATTTCTACTATTACTAGTAAATGCTAACTAACTTAGGGCATACTTTAATAATGTTTTAAATATTATTATATATAAAGACAAAACTACTATCTTTATTATATAAAAATAAAGACACTTTTTTTTTAATATTAGTAAGAAAAAATCTATGTTTTTTTTTACTAAATTAGAACTCTACTGCCTCTACTGCTAAT